GCACCCACCAGGATTATGGGTAACTGCAGTAGCTCGCCAGACATCACAATAGTCAGCGCTGGTCTGATAAACAGCATAACGTGGGGACCTATGCTGACTCTAGCATCAGACCACCTACCCATAGTCATCTCGATTGATAAACCAACCGACTTTGCCTCCGCCAAACACCGGACCTATATCAACTTTTCTAAAGCTGATTGGAAAGCTTACGCGGAGTTTACTGAAAACACCTTCACATCGCTCCCCACACCGACCGACGTCCATCTCGGTGAACATAAGTTCCGCAGCGCTATCACTGCTGCTGCAGCTCGCTTCATACCGGCAGGGTGTATATCGGAACCACGTCTAAACTTCCCTGCCGAAGCGGCTGTTTTAGCCAATGAGCGTGATAGCCTTCGTCAGGCCGATCCCGGAGATCCCCGTATCAGGGATCTCAACGCGGAGATTCGGCAACTTGTAAACGTACATAAGCGGAAGAAGTGGGAGGAGCATCTGAAGACTTGTAACTTCACCTCTGGTGTGAGCAAGCTTTGGTTAACCGTGAGGTCATTGTCTAATCCGACGAAGCACGACGACAGAGTCGAAATTTCCTTCGGCGACCATGCCTCGTCGGACCCGGAGCGTTGCGCGAGCTTTTTTAGCCGGCAGTTCATACTGCATCCTCCGGTGGACAAAGCCAAGCGTCGAGTGACCAGAAGGCTGCACAAACTGCCAACAACTTGTGCCCGCTTGCTTTCACTTGCGGTGAAGTTCAGGTGGCCATCGGGAAGGCGAAAGCCTCCAAAGCCATGGGTCCCGACAGAATATGCATGCTGATGCTGAAAAATTTGGGTCCTGCGGGGGTAGCGTACCTAACGGAGGTCCTCAATCTGTCAATGGCCACTCTCATCTTCCCAGACATCTGGAAGGTGGGGAGAGTGGTCCCACTGCTCAAACCGGGGAAACCTGCCAACAAAGGAGACTCGTATCGTCCGATTACACTCCTTTCCCCGGTAGCAAAGACACTCGAAGCCTTGCTACTCCCGTACTTCACAAATCACCTGACCCCAGCAAAGCATCAGCATGGCTTCCGTAAAGTGCACAGTACAACAACAGCACTTAACGCCATAAACACTCAGATAACTCGTGGCCTTAACCGTAACCGTCCCTGTGAGAGAACGATTCTAGTAGCGTTGGACTTGTCAAAGGCGTTTGACACCGTCTGCCATTCCACGCTACTAGAAGATATAGAGGCCTCCTCTCTCCCACAGAGGCTCAAACGGTGGTCGGCAAATTATCTAAGTGGTCGACATTCGTCGGTAATGTTTAGAGACAAAACGAGTAAGCAGCGAAAAATAAAACAGGGGGTTCCTCAGGGTGGTGTCCTTTCCCCGCTACTGTTTAACTTTTATATTTCAAAGCTCCCTCAACCACCACAGGGAGTCTCGATTGTCACCTATGCAGACGATTGCTCGATTATGGCGACTGGGAATGGAATTGATGACCTGTGTTCGAAAGTAAACGGCTATCTCTCCGAACTCTCTCGCTTCTTCACTGCAAAGTGTCTAGCCCTCTCCCCTACGAAGTCCTCCGCGACCCTGTTCACAACCTGGACGAAGGAGGTCAGGCTACCGCTGGGGATTCACGTCGATGACACACCAATTCCGACGGTGAATAACCCCAAAATACTCGGAGTAACATTCGACAGCCTGCTCTCCTTCTCTGCGCACTCAACCGCTATTGTCAATAAAGTACAGAGCCGCAACAAGGTCCTCAAGTCGCTAGCCGGCAGTACTTGGGGCAAAGATAAAGAAACGTTGCTGGCAACATACAAGGCAATAGGCCGGCCGGTTTTGAACTACGCAGCGCCAGTGTGGTCGCCAGGGACTAGTAGGACGCAGTGGACGAAGCTACAGACTGTACAAAACACCGCACTCAGGACAGCGACGGGATGCCTCTTGATGTCGCCTGAACACCACCTGCACGGCGAGGCGCAAATGCTCCCGGTAAAGGAGCATAATATAATACTCTGCAAGCAGTTCCTGATCGGGAGCCACAGAAGTGGCCACCCAAGCAGACAGCTGCTTGCAAAGGAGCCCTCGCCTAGGCACGTCAGGAGGCATCTATATGAACTAACGGACGAAGTCCTGAGGTTCATTAAGCAACCTCTGGACCCGACAGCTTACAGACAGGCCCTGAACGGCATTCACAGGGACTCAGTCTCGAGTTATGTAGACTCTAGACCTGTGAATGCCGTTATAGGCACACCACCCCCGGACATAGACGAGACGGAGCTTCACGCACTACACTCGCACAACTTCGCTCCGGCTACTGCAGCAGGTTAAACTCCTACTTGAGTAGGCTGAATGAGGATGTGCCGAACGAATGTCCGGCATGCGGAGAGACCCCACATGACTCGAAACATCTCTTCGCATGCCCGGCAAACCCGCCATCCCTAACGGCCTTGTCCCTATGGGCAAACCCCGCAGAAGCTGCACGCTTCCTAGGGTTGCCGTTAGTGGAACTTGACGACAACGACTGAGATACCAACCGATCTGGGCGGGGTTGTTGTAGCCGCTACAACAACAACAACAAAGCTAGTGAGTTTGGCGGAAGATATGGAAAATATCCCCCCCGGAGAGAGAGCCGCAGTGAGAACCAGTCCGCGGGTCACGGAGAGATATCAGCACATGCGCGAACTGCCTAGGACTGACGAGACAGCTACAGCAGAGAGAACACAGCGCCAACCTGAACCACACAGTGGTGTGGCAACACTACAGTCGGAGTACACATTGCGGAGAAGGTGACCATTTTGCGAGAGTGTGCAGAGCTGCACGGAGAGAGTTTTGTTGGACCTGTGGTCGATGCAATGTCTCGACTCGAGAGTGCTGCCGTAGTGCATCGGAAAACGGGTCGAGGTCCCATTTTCGGCGAGAAGTGGGGCGTCAGGTAGAACAGCCACGCCCAAACAAAAGAGTGTCCTGAGGCAGTAGGATGGCCGAACTATGGCGGCGATCAGAGTAAACGAGGTCGACGTAGTAGCTGCAGTTGATTCAGGCGCAACAAGAAGTTTCTTGAGCGAGGCCATGTTTAAGAAACTGGATGTGGGAGAAGTTA